CAAACTCTTGAGGCAGCTGCTGTCCTTTATGCCTTATTGATCTCTCTAGAGATTTGTAAGAACAGCAAACACCAGCAAGAAGAATAGGTAAAAGGAGGAGCTATAGCTCTGGATGTGGCAAGGGTTTGTTTCTGAGTCTCAGTGAGGTATTTCTGCTACCTGTGAGCAAGAGGAGTGCCTTCTGGGCTTTTCTCCCAGGAAGATATTGGAGGAAACCCAGCTAGGGAAATGCACAACACAGCAATTTCCCAGAGCTATGCCGAGGCACTCCAGCTCCTTTTGTATTGTCTCTTTCTTCTGTCTCTACTTTCTCAGCTAGGTATTTTAACAGCTTCTCCATCCATCTATCTTTTCTTATTTCTCCTTTCTTTTCTGTGTCCTCCCCCTCCCTCACCTTTCCATTGGTGTATTCTTCTCACAATCTTTCATTCCTTCACTGTCCCTCCAAGCACCATCTTTCCATTCCCTTCACTTTGCCATTAAACCTCTACTCTGACACATTTCTTGTCTGTGTAGTTGGCAAGCTCTTCAGGAGAAAACCACTGGGTCTTCTGAGACTGTGTCGCCGTGAAAGGTAACAATAGACCTGTGATCAGTGAGGTTTTGACCCAGAGGAGGTCACACAACTGAGCTTTGGGATCACAGCCTGATCTGGGGCTTATGCTGACTCTGCCAGTGCTGAGAAAACAGGCTGCGGTTGGTTTGGTACCACAATGGATGGCTGGGGAAAGCATTATTTCATAAAGCATCAGCATTTTGGCTCCTGTGGCTCTGGTGCTTTTGATCCAGTAGTGGGAACCCTGAAGCAGGATTTATTGTGTTCTTGAATGACAGCCCAAAACTGTGGGGTACTTAGCAAGATGAAATTTAAGCTCAGCTTGCTCCTTAGGCACTTTTGGAAGAAGCATTATTTTATTACTAATGGTAATAGTAGTAATAATATTAATAATTACTCTGTTCTTTAAGCCAACAGCCATTCAGCTGGTGCCTAAGTTGTTGAAAATAACCTGGAAACCTAATCAGCTCAAACCACTCTCTCTGCTTCCTGGAGGGGAAATCTTTTACCTCCAGCATGGTGCTAGAGAGGGTGAAGAAGTTTCTGTGTCTGAGCTGCTTTTATATACCAAGCCCTCTTAAAGAGAGCAAGGCCACTCTCTCACATGGAAATCAGCCAGGCCATGTATTTGTCCCAACATGCTTGGAAATTGCCAGGAAAATAAAGGTGGAAGATTGCTCCCTGTGTCTGGAGCTGCTTGACTACCCTGAAATCTGTTGATCAAAATTTCACCATCATTTCCCTGCAATAAATACCTAAAGCCTATAAAAGGCTGCAAACATTGCGTAACAGGAAAAAAAAAATTGAATGAAGAGCCCTGCAAGATTAACTGGACTGATGCTGTGCTTGGAAAAGAAGCTCCTGACTAGGTGGCAGAGCACCCTGTGGTTTCAGCCTGCTGGGATTCAATACTTGTTTAGACACAGAGCTGACCACATAGCTTAGTGCTTTCAGCACATCTCCTTTCCTCTAGACTCCCCTAGCTCTGCCCAGGGTCACCCAAAGGAGCTGTATTGTCTGTGCCCTGTGAGGTCTGCAGTGTGTCTGTGACTGCCAAGCGCATGGTCCCAGCGATCTGCAGCTGGCCTGTGATAAGCAATGATATTAGCTAAGAGACCTTGACAAGGGGACAGTGTCTCCTTTTTCCATTCAGACAATAGTTCTGCATGGGGGGACAAAAAAGAAGGCAACCGAAAAAGAAAATAAAAGAAAAAATTAAAAAATTCTGGAAATGAAAAGGAGTAGCCCTAATTCTCCAAGTCTAATCTGCTGTAGTGTCAAAGAAATCACATGTTGTTGAAGGTGAATGAACTTAACTGTGCTCAGCACATAAAAATCAGACCTTTCCTATGACTGAGATATGAGTTGCTCAACCACAAACCCCAGAATCTGTGACAGTGCAAGCACAGTCAGTTTTTATATGTCTGAGTCCTTGGACAGCTGGATCTTGGCTGGGCTGCACTGTGGTTAAAATTAATTGCAGTCCTTTGTCACATTACCTTTGCTGAGGGTTAGCACCCTCCTCTGAGGCTGAAACAGATGCCCTGAGAGAACCAGCTGTGGCATAGCTCAGAGCCACAACAAATTCTAACTAACCATGAGCTTTTTCTAGCATATACCTGCATCTGGACTGTGGTACAAAGTACAATGGGATTTAATAACTGCCATTAAATTGGCAGACAGCCCTGCTCCTAGAGAGGGTCCATATATTTAAGAACTATGCAAATTATGCAGTATGCATGTGACCAAATTCTTTGTAGAGGAAAATCCCTGGGACTGTGTTAAATTAAATAGGATTATGGCTTTCACTAATCTGTATCCAGTGTGACCATACAAGGGTATTAGTTTGATAATATTTAAGGACTTAGCTCTACAGCAGCAGCAATCGGCTGTCTAAGCCCAGTGACTGCGTTGTCAGTGAAAATCTCAGCTACTGAAGAGATTGTTTTTTACATTGCCCGAATTAAACATGTGACACTCACCAGCTGGCAAATTAAGCACAACAAAGTTATGCATAGGTCAAGCCATTTTTAATTTTTGGAATAAGTAGAAAGAGCAAATGGTGTGATGTGCCTCCTGTGAGCAGTACTGTTGAGCCCTGCTCTTCTGAAGCTGTGGGCAGTCCTCCCATCAGCCCGGTGGGAGTGGAGACAAACCAGTATGATGCTACCAAAAACCTCATCCTTTCACCCCAAGTCTTTTCCCGAATGGCACAGATGGATTTTTAGATTATTTAGCAATACAGCTTGGTTTCCAGCCTGGAAGCTGTCCTGTCAACTCGGTATTTGTTTAACAGGAGTTACAATGCCCGTCTGTCTCCAGCCACTGAAATCAGAGGTAACAGTGGTATACCCTGACAAACACTGTCATTGTAATGGCTCTCTCAAAAAAAAGCAAACAGATAACTCTCTTCAAGCCCATTTCTCCACAAACACACACATATGTGTATAAATTTGTAGAGCCCCCTCAAACGTAAATCCAAGTAGTGAAATTTGAAAAACAATCAGAGTAGGAAGAAGAACTAAGCCACAGCTCTGTTTAAAAACCATTGAAATTTTCCCACTGATTTCAGTGAAACAAAGATTTTCGTTACCTGTATTTAAAGTAATATTATTCCACTAAATGGATGACATCATCAGATTATTTTTCTACCTTTTACCATATTTTATTGTGCTAAAATGATAAAAATTCTAAAATGACACCTTCAATTATCTTGTATGCATGGAGGTTTTACCAAAAATAAAATAAAACTGATAATCTGCTTATTTGAAATTACTCTTACTCCAAGAATGGGTTACATGAAAAGAACACCTTTTCCATTAGGATTGTGTTCTTAAGGTATTCAAATCTGCATGTTTTTAACAGGAGAGAAAAACACATAAAAAATTTCCATTACTTCTACAGCCAGCACAGCTAAAATAAAACAATATGTTTCGCATCTTCTCACGTCTTTTGTTTTTACTCTACTTGAATGTCACATTTTTAAAAGAGACATCTATATAAATGAGGATAACTACTGTGATTATAGTGAGGACTGCAGAATGATAATAAAAATAAAAATACAGAGCACAAGATGTAGTGGGTTGATTCTTTAGTCCCAGATAAGGCTTGCAGGAATGCCAGGACAAAATATCCTTTGTTTTTAAATGGAACAGCCACACGGCAAAGGTCAGGCAGGGACACAAGCATAGAAGAAGCCCAGAGCTCCCTTCCAGTCCCTCCACCTGGGTCCATCCTTTGCATAGCCCTATCAAGACAGATCTAATCTGTCCCAGCATATCAAAATCCTGATGGCTGTGTCATATCAACAGGAAAGATACAATGCCCAAAGTAGCCTTACTCATCTGGGCACCACAGGTGACTTCTTCAAGTTGAAAGTTCCCTGCAATGTAGGGTGCTGCTTGATCACCTCACTTCTAACTGCACACACAGTTCCTATAGCAAATATAGCTATGATCCATCCAGTTACTCTGCCCATGCTTCGTAAGTTTACAGTGAACTCTCCATGATTAAAATCCAGTTTCTTCATTTTGTTATTTTATTCTTATGATGAGTTGATTGGCTTGCTCTGGGGTTGAGGGACCCAGATGAAATAGCTGGGAAATGTCTGAATGTAGCCCAGCTAATTTTCCTTCTGGCTTAGTCAACCAGGTAGGATTTTAAGCCAAAGGGGTTAAAGAAATGCAAACGTGAGTTGGAGTCTTACCAAATTTCCTTAGACAGTTTTTCCTAAAATCATCAGGAACGCTGCTTATGCTTCCTTAAGCTTTCAGTATGCTTTCCAGATGGATGTTTTGGGATTCCAGCTCTATAAGCAAAACCATCCAGCTGCAATAAATGTGTGTCTGGACAGGTTCTTCATTGTACCCTGGAGCCACCTGAACTTATGGCAACTCCCAAGTATTCATACAGTTATGCCAGTGCTAGGGGCTCTTCTCCAGAAGTCACACAAGTTGTGTCTACTCCTGCTTTATTTTTCTTGTTAAAACTCAGAGGAAATTCTAGCCTAGATAGCACAGATTTAAGCTAGAAATATTATCACATTGACAACAACAATGTCAAATGGCTAAATGTGAAGGTATATTTACTTAAAATAATACTCAACAAGCTATTTGGAAAACTCTTTAAAGTTCACATCACGACATTTTTGAAACACAATGAGTTTAAACACAATTTTATCAAGGATCCTGACTTGAACCACAAAAGTATTTGACTTCTTAGTAAATTACTATACCATTGAAATGGCACAACAGTAATATCAGAGAGGGCAGTCTCCAGAGCTAGGTACTGTAGGTGCAGGAAAGGGCTTTGGGCAGGATCATCTCTCCTGGTGAGGAGGGATTCCTAGATCCTGGAAAGTCTTCATGTTGGAGTCACCTCAGAGGTGCCAAGGGTGACAGTGGATCTCAACACAACCAAATACTACAGAGACAGAATATTTTATTGTGTCAACATTTATCAAATTCTCTGAATTAAGAGAAGAGAATTTGGATAACTCCAGGTGGTGTTGTGCATTGATGTTTATTCTCTAGTAATTGCTTTATCTGGGAAAAACCAGCTTTCACTTTGCTAAGACAAGTAGAAAATCCTCTGCCTCCATGCCTGAGAACCTAAACAGAAACAGAACAGCTTATTTACATTAGAAAAATGTTACCTATTCATGCATTTGCTGCACTTTCTTTTACCTGAACATGAACAGGGCAGAAGTTATGACTCTATGCCTCTTTGTAATTGTTTTTGTACATCAAGCGTGTTGCCAAGAAACATCTGTGTGTTCTGGCTTAGTGTTTCTATCTTTAGGAGATTTTCAAATACCAAGACAAAACAAAAAAAGCAAACAAAAAAAAAAAAGCTTCAAACATATCTGTGATCTCACATCCAATGTGTCAAAGCAAATCCTAAAGACATGGTAGTAGATCATAACTAGTTTTGAACATGGAAAAAATTGACATTCAGTAGTATGCACAAATACAGTTAAATGGCAAGAATAGTCTTTGCAGTGATTTCACTCTGGGCTAGATTGAATTCTCCTGGCAGTTTTTGGGCAGAGTCTGGGAGCTGGCACAGTACAGAGAAAGGCAGTTTGCAGGTGGTCATTGTTCAGAAAATAATGTAACTGTGTAGATGTGGAATGCTCCATGCCAGGCTCTTCAATGCCAGAGAGCATTTGCTAGCACTTTTAAATTTACCAGAGTAAGTATAAGCCATGTGTTCCCTTTTTCATTGTCAAAAAAATAGGATGAGGAAAATTAAAAACAACTGCCAATATATCAATCTACACTGAGTTTTAAGGTGCAAGGGAAAAATAGGCTGCTAATCATATTGTTATAGACGCAGCTTAAAGGCCAAATTCATCCTTGTTCTAAATTCACTGACCTTTATTTCTATTTTAGATCAATAATAATAAAATATTGGCAAGTAACATAAAATAAGTTTCTCACAACCCCTGAGCAATGCTTTGTCATCCAAAAAGTTAGGCTAGAATTGAAGTGGTTTGATAAGAATGAATCTTTTTAAGATGAATGAGTATGTCAGGGTCCACCTTCCACAGTGTAATATAGTTGTTTACTTCATTCGTAAAAAGGCTACCATAATTTTTCCTGGTGAAAATTAATTCTCAAGACATTAAAAAATCAATTACCTAGCACAAAGCTTTCTTCCTAATGATGTTACGTACAGAAAATTCAATCTGGATCTTGAAATTATGGTCAGGGCTTCTTCTAGATTTATGTGTGTACCACTTCAAGGTTTTGCAGGTAAACATTTGCTCAATCCCACTGAAAATGATGGCACAGAAGAGAATCTGCTGCTGCAAGCACCACTTGGGTGTGAAAAAGAAAAGGAGCCCACTTTTCAACCATCATATTCCTTCCCCACTGCCACATGTATCATTGACGTTACCAGCTGTAGCTCCACAGAACAGTAATAACCTCTCTGCTAAAAAGTCATTTATAAATCACAATTTTTCTGATTCAAACAACTTTTTTTTGCATAGGATTCTTATTCTAGCTATGAATTCCCAGATGTCTGAAGACAGCTTTATACCCAAGTTGAATGCCATGCATTACTTACAGAAATTTGTTAAATATGCAAAAGACCAAAACTGACTAGCACTGATTTATGGGTACAATATTTCTCATGCAAAATTCACACAAAGAAACCACAGAATATCTCGTGTTATTTAAACTTAATTCATTTGCAATGTGACTGGCTTTTTGGATGTGTACATACAAAGCAATTCTTCACAGGAATTCCATCACAGTGTAAACTAAAAGGACTTCAAAAGTTGTCAATTACAAGTCACTGTAAGTCATTTTACCTTAAGCATGAAGCCTGATTTCACTGAGCTGTCTCCCCTGGTAGGACCTCTCTAAACCACAGTGCTGGCCTCTCCCCTGGTGAAACTAAACAAAATACCCCACATTTCAGTGTGAACATGATTCAAGCAGTCATCTGGACCTAAGGACACAGTATCAAACCAACACAACAGGAAATGTGAAAAATTATCAGAGATCATAGCAAACAGTGGTATTTGTGAAGCAATAAATTCTTCTTAGAGTTTATAAACATACATTGTCAATCTGAATACTTCCACAGTGACTTAACATTTACAGAACAGAGATATAAATACTAACTCATCTTTATGCCACAAAGCACATCTTTTACCTGATGATTTACTAAGACAAACCTCTTGGCACTTCTGAGCTCTCAAAAGATGAAACATTTAGAAGGATGTGGGACAATGATGTGTGATTAAACACAGAATTAAAAGATGGGATTTTTAGATAAACGACTTAGGAATTTTGAAATTTAGGGGGGAAAAAGGATGTATTTAACTGAAAACAAAATCACTGTCTGAAACCCAAAGCAGTTATTAGAAACACATCACTCTAAATCTCTGTACCGGAAGATTACAATAGCTCTACTAAAAAGTCAACTTAAATCCACTGTAAAAGGAGTCTTAGTTGAGACTAAGAGGAATAAAAATGCAGCACCATTACATTATCAAATTCTATTACAATAGTTAATTGCTCACATTTACAGTGATTTCATAATCTCCCATTATGGCAGCTGCAGGGAGGAGACAGAGCAGAGGGACATGTGAAGTCTTGGCACTGAAATCACAGAATGTATGTTAAAGGCTTATTAAGACTATTTAATCCCTTTCCCTGCTGATTATGGATTGTCCTCCATTGTACACTTCCTAGTGTTTTGTCTAACCTAGTTTTAAATATCTCAAGCAATGGGAATGTCTTCAGTTCCCTTAGGAGATTACTTCAAGGCTAATGGATTTCACTGGCAGAGATGCCTTTTGATCTCCTGCCTACATTTGCCCTTACTTTATTCCTTTTGATTAAGTTTCTTTCCTCCTCTTTTTTTTTTCTTTTTTTTTGTGTGATAGATACAAGATAACCCATGAATATTAGAAATTCTACTCCCTTCCTCATTTTTACAGTGATAGACATTTTTTGAGTGAGGGATCTAGACAATTTCCATCCAGATAAAGCCAGTAGCAAGCTGCCAGCAGTGCTAGCAGTCAGTATAGTCATACTCCTTTGGCTGCTGCTGTGCCACTAGAAGTGGTTTCCATATGCAGCCCTCAGCCAACTACTTGTCACCACCCTCTTCCTAGAGGTTATACACACCCTCCCACTCCTGATTTTCTGGCTGAACTATTGCTAGAATTGCTGCTCAAAATGAGCCAACTTACTTAAAGCCTGTTTAAACAGTGAATTATTGCTTACCCATCTCTTTCTGGCTGACATGGGCTAGACAATTCTCCCAGCTCCATCTCTTCTAGCCCAGGGGAGAGACAGTAACCCCCAGCAAGGCAGTGGTGACCTTTGATGCAGCAGAAAGGGAAATGCCAATGCAAGCATTCACAATTCCCCCCCTGCTCCTGGTGTTCTGTGGAAACTGGGAATGACTAGTGATGAGACAATTAGAGATTGCAAGGAGACAGCTGCATTTTTTCCAGGCTGAAGGTGCCTACCTGAGCTACGCACAAAAAGTCACTGGCTTGCGTTGCATAAACAACTTGCTTCTTCACCTACTTTGATAAGATTACTGACAAAAAAATTATTTTCTTTTGACAAAAATTGCTTTCTTTTCAAAAGAAAAAGTGCATGTTTTGTCCACTTCAGATGTTGACCATAACTCTGAAAAGAAGGACACACGCAGAGTTGGGTGGTGCAGTGCCAGGTACCATGGCTGTGCATGCTGTATACTTCCAGCCTAGCCAGGGTGAGGATGGGAGACACAGACTCCAGCCAGAGGATTCAGTCTGTCACTGGAAGTGTTATGCTTCTGTAGAACACTCAAACTGCATTGAGTTATTTTCATATTTTATAAATACTCTAGATGCCATCACGAGACACCTCAGTGATAGAAATCACTAAGAATTAAGAAGCAGCGCATTTTTAATAAATATAACAACACACAGTCCCTCTCACTGAAATAAGAATTTCTGTCTGCAAAGTATAACCATTAAGAGAAATTTAAGCATTAAGGACTCTTTAATGCTTTGCAAATGGCTGAGGATGGGGTGATAAATGCATTTTTTCCCTGGCCTGTTCCAAATTATAATGTTTTGCCAACATAGCTATGTCAGTTGCCGGTGTGAAAAATTCACGTCCCCAGCAGATATTGCTAGGTTTGCAGAACTCCTGGTGTGGACGTAACTTTGCCAGAAGGAGAGAGCTTATATTGGCTCAACTTACATCACTTAGGGAGGTGGTGTAACTATGCCAGAAAAACTCCTTCTGTCAGTTTGAACAGTATGTGCTGCAGGGTGCTCTGCCAGTGACAGCAATGGCAGAGCTGTGGGGTAGACAAGACTGGGATCGTTGTCACTCCATACATTCACTTTTAATTAGCAGATTAATCAACATGCCACATTTGAGGAGAGCATCTCATCAAAGACTGCTGCATTTACTGACATCCTCAGTCTGCCTGTCTGCTAATATATCAGAACTGCTACTTTGATGCCTGTCTTGAAACAAGAAACCATGTGCTACTCAAATGTGTATTCTTGGAAACCAGACAGCTTAAGTTATGACCTCCCTAGGTGTGTTGGCATCTTTTTTGCAGTCATATAATTTTGTGTTTTCTTGTGTCCCTTCTTGGCATCTACTGGCCTCCAGAACTGTATTTTGGAGGTCTAGTCCGTCCAATCTCTCCTGACTCTGTCAAAGATGTTGATTTATTCTGATCTAAGCTTAATTGAATTATTTTAAATAAAAGAGAAAATAATTGTTGCATTAAATTCTCTTAAGTGAATTTAATTCTCTTTAATATGCCCTTGGTGTACTTTTCTCCAAAGTATCACATCACCCTCTTTCACATGACTCTGAATGCTATTCATGCCTGAAATGTACATAGATAGATACTGATTGCAGCAGTTGGTTCCAGTATCAGCTGGTTCCTTCCTCCAGCTAGAGCGTGCCTGGCGGCTCTTTCCGGTGCTGAGTGACCTCTGTGTTTATGTCTAATATCCTGTCTCCATTTACCAGAGAGCTGTAATACCATGCACACTTGGTAACACTTAAGAAATGTATACAAGCAAGGAAAGTATTGCTTAGGGAAGCAATAGATAGGGAATTATTGCCATGGGAGTGTTCATTTGAGCTAGGTCTACTTTCCATACTTAGTTGCTTTGGCTTTATTTTTCATAACTGTGGCAGAATAACTTGCAATAGTTCAATCTGAGGAGAAATAAATTTCTGTCTAGAAAATCAAGTGTTACCTGGTGTTTAGGAAAACAGAGAAGTAACAATCTACCATTGTTACTATTATTACTATTATTACTGTCCAGCATGTTTCTGGATGCCACTTTAAAATCCAGAGAGCTAATACCTGCCATGGCATCTAGAATTCCAGCACCTGGAAAATTCCCAACTGTTCATTTCTCTTTAGATAATATCATACAAGTGGTTTTGAGCCAGCATCTCTTCCATTTTCCTTGCTCATCTCTTTTTAGCTACAGTGTCATCTATGCTATACCACTGATTGTGTTTGCTGAAGGAATACAAAGGAGGACATCACAACCTCAAAGCATCACTGAATTTCATTGTGTCTTATCAATGTGCATACCAACAGGTTAGGAATTAGGAAAAGTAGAACAGAATTTAGTTAGAGAAAGGAAAATGTGATGATAAGTGGCCCTCACAGTTCTGACATGTTTGTCTGGAAAGCAAACAAGAAAAGCAGTACCACATTAAATACATATGGCATGTGTAAATGTGTTACACTGGTAGAGGATGCACTCAGAACAAATAAAAAATATTATATTTGTGATCAGCTATCTGGAAAAGTTTTAGATTAAGACTTTTGTTTTCCAGTTTCTAAAACACTCTGAATAGTACCCATAAACAAGTATGATTATATGCACTTAAATAATAATTAATTTCAAAAGAAATTGCACAAAGACTATGATAAGATTAATGATGAAAGCAATTATAGGCTACAATTAATGACAAAAAGACCCACACTGAAAGTAAACTGGAAGAAAATTTCCAGTTGCACTGTGTGTGCACATCAGTGAAAGTTTCTTTAAATAGTTTCTATAGTTTCTATAGTTTAAATAGTTTCTATAGTTTCTTAAAATCATGTAAAGAGCAAGATTATTATCATGCTATTTTTTTTACAGTGATTTCATTTCCTGAGAGTACAGCTTACTTTTAAAGTTTGCTAATAACTTAATTAACTAACAAGCTTAGACTCTGAGGCGCTTACTCCTGCCAGTCTCTGCTTTACACAGATATGGCTGTATTAAATTGGCTTGGTCACAGAACTGTTCTCGCTTGCTCCATCCCCTTGGTGCGACACAATCTTAATTTAGAGACAAACTTAATAGATCCTTTAAAACTTGATGATGGGATGCCTCTCTCTATGCCTTAATTATGCAAAAAGCTCTGAAAGGAGTTTAAGGAAGAAGAAACATTTTAACATAAATAAAGGCTTCTAATACAGAAAATGAAGCAAAAATTGAAACTCTTTTACACACAGAAGATGTGGCAGCGCAGGCAGGCTACCATCTTACTGATTTACTCTCACTGAGCAGAACTGTTACATTTCAGAGCACAAGGATATTTGGAAAGAATAGCTGGGATCAGCCAATTTGTTAACCTCTCTGTTAACACTGCAGGCTGTGCTGGTGTTTGTAATGTGGGCACCTGTTCAAAAAAGAGCGGAACAGAGGCAACTCCCTTTACACAAACTTTTCCATTTTGTGAACCACATCTTAAATGAGACCACATCCCTCCCATACAGACTGAGGGACACCTCCCATCCCACCAGTAACCAGCTAATATTTCTGTAATAGCTACAATAACTCAGTTTATGAACTCAGAGAGGAAGTAAAAAGAGAAAAAATAATAATAAAAAAGAAACAGACTGGAAAGGAAGGTTTTCATTTATTTTCATTCTATTTGCTGTCTAGAGATGAGGCAGCCACAGCTCTCTCCAGCTGACAGGGGTCCTCTCTTTGACAGCTGTCAGACTGGGAGGTACTTTGTGCACCATCAATCACCACTGTCTGCAGAAGAGAAGGACATGGTGTGATGGCAGCTGAGCTAGATGTCACCTGAGTGAGGTATATAACTGCAGCATCTGTGTTAGGGTGCTGGTTCCCTGTACTGCCATCAGAGAGGGCAAACCACCTCTAGAGCTAGATCTGGAGGGAAAGAGCTTCACTTGAATTTATCTGTCATTCCCATCCACCGCCAAGGAACTTAGCCATGCACCTTAGTTTTTCTCACCCCCTACATTTGGCACAAGTCAGAGGCCTAAAATGTGCCCAGCTTTACCTATCAGCCAGTACTGAGATCTATGTGCCATCAGGAAAACGCAATGAACCATAAAAAGTGCCTTGCAAAAGCCAAAGATGCTCTGGGAACTGTCCCAGGGTGAACTTGCTGTGGGGACTGAACTTGCTGCAGCTCCAGGGATTCCTGCTCCAACACGCAAACAACATGTGATTTACTGTATCTGTTGCAGTTCTAAGTTTAAAATGTTTACTGCACTCCTGATGCTTTATCCACTCTGAAACAAAAATATTTTCCAACAGAGTGTTGAGCTGTGGCTAACATCATAAAATGTCTGTTGGTGACTTACTGGGAAATGAACAAATAAACAAACCAAAAAAAAACCCCAACCCCAAACCATTACAACACAAAAAGACAAAAACAACAAACCACCAGAAACATTTAATTTCCTCCACAATGAAGATGAATTTCTCCAGCTCTTTAAAAGTCCCTCAGTGCTCACTGTCCTTCCCAAACCCTCTCTTTTCTCCGTAACATGTCATTTGAAGCTCATTTTCAATTGGGCAATCAATAAAGACAAGCTAACGTAATTGGGGAGTTTTATTATTTGCTTGTTTCTGGGGTTTTCCGGTGTGTTTTACCCGGGAAATTCCTTAGGAACCGCCTAGCAGCTTCCCCGGGCGCGGGGTCCCGCGGGGCTCACAGGCACGGCGCGCCCGGGCGGCTGCGGCAGCGGGGACGCGCCCGGGGCGCTCCCGGGGCCGGCGGGCGGATGGGGAAGGAGCGGGGCACTCACCTCGCGGCGGGGCAGGGCGGCGGGCAGCGGGCAGCGGAGCCGGGGGAGCGGCGGAGCTGCGGCCGGGCGGGCTGAGGGCTCCGGCCGCGGGACCCCGAGCGCTGCGGGGCCGCGCTGTGCCCGCAGCGCCGCGCCCGGCCCCGCTGCCGCCGCGCCCGCAAGGTCACGCTGCTGCCCGCTCTGCGCTTCCTTCGCTGGGGCACCGCCGCGCGCCTCGCTGCAGTCTTGGGGAAATATGTCAGCTTGCCCGAAATGGTGCAGTTTCATAGGAGTTGGGTTAGTCTCAGGGAAATTTTAGAATATTGAAACAGATTTGGTTTATAAGCCTTTTTTTTTTTTTTTTTTTTTTTTTTTTTTTTTTTTTGTCCCGATACCTTCCTATCACCCTGGGGAAAATTCCTTGGGAAAATCCCTTGGTAAAGTACGAGTGCTACCACTGTTTAATGAAAACATCAGCATGGTTGATATTTTTGGGGATCATTTTATAGAAAAGACAAAGTTATTCTTCAGCTTCAGGAGAGAGAACTCTAATCTAAATGACCTCAAACGCTAGACCAAGTTACTTCTGGGAGGTTATACCAGTGGTGAGAATAGACATTTGACTAAGGAGCTCAGTGTACAGCTGCACTACAGAAGCCAGAAACGTTTAGCAAGTATTTTTTTACAGTTGATTTTCTTTTATAAATAGCTTATATAGCTTTTCCAATTGCAAATCTCCGCCAGTCTTGACATTTTATTTCAGCCATTGGAACACTATTCATTAAAAGAACCACAGCTGCTCTGCAGGCAGTCACAACTCATAATTAATATCCTTCTATATTAGGACATATAAAAAAATATTTTCTCTTTGTCCCAGTGTTTATGGCAGTGATGTGTCAGACTGCCAGTAAATTTGAAACCTGAAGAGTTTGTTTTTGGAGTCTCCAGTGGAGATCAAAGTTTCAATAGTCACTCTCTTGCTGAAAACTTTTGCCTGTATCAGGTTCATTAGTAGAGTTGTTAGTATAAGTACTGAGCAATATCTCTTTTATGAAGGTTGGACTGTTATAACAACAAAATAAATTATCACTGTGCAAAAGCAAGACAGAAAAATTTCCCTGAACTGGAGACCAATATACTTCAGCAAACACTGGCTGTAAAACAAAGAAATAGCCTCCTTCTCCAGCTCCCACAGATATGATTTTTCCTTTGATACCTTGGGAGAGAAGCTGAGCTAAAGCTACTCCCTGACTTACAGCACTTTGGAGGGATCATTGTCTTTCAGCAAGCTAAACCTTTCTGAAATACACTTATTCACATACAGAACCCACACATAACTCATTAGCACAACATTTATGCATGACATTATCTTGACTCTGTCACCCTTACATGGCCAGGAGTCTGATTTTCCATCGATGTCAGTTTAACACTGCTGTACTTCAGCGAGCTCCTTAATTTTGGGCAGAGCACAGAGAAAAAACTAGAGATATTTAGAATATGAACAATAGATATATTTACAGCGTGAACAATCATCCCCTTTGTGAATGTGTGGTCATAGAAATGCTTTGTAAAAACTGCAGCATGGATAGAAAGGGACCCATTTGAAAGGATCCAAGCCATCCTTAGACTTTTTAACGTCCTGCTTCATCAAAGTAATTTTAAACCTTCCTCACTTTCTAAAGCTAAAGGACAAACATATTTTAAAAGCCTTTCAGACATATTTATATGACTTTTTTAGTAAACATAAGATAATGATGATTAAGGCATAATAAATTATCATCCATATGTTCAAAGCATCTGTCCTTGGTCTGTGAAAGTCATTCTGAAGATATAAATTCAGACTTTAATCTTTAAGTTTTCCTGTGGATGTTTTTGGCTAAAAGTTAATCATATAATTGTGACAGTATTATATGAATTTGGACCTGTTTGAAAAACACTTCAGAGAACATCACACACTGTTGGGTGAAAATAGCTTATATGACTTCTTTTTTTCCACCTCAACATTGACGGACTGATGATGAATAACAGTAACTCTCCAGTTCCACTTTGGCTCACATGTGCAAAGTCTCTTGTCTGTCACACCTGTCTACCAACCAATGCATCTGCTCTAGTACAGTCCTGTCAGCTTCATCAAATACTTGCCTGTATCATAACAGATCATCCAGTGACTCTGAAACACATCTCTGCTGTTGGCAGAAGGCCACATTGCTTTTGAAACACTCTCATTCTCCCAGTCCTGGAAAAAATACACTTGAAAGAAATACTAAGAGATGAAGAGTTTTTCATTCTCATTGCAAAAAAATTCTGAGTCCATGCACTCGATCTCTATTTAGGAATATTTAAAATACCCTCAAGGCATGGTCCCCAGCAGATGACTCCTCTTGGATTTCAGTTTGTCACTGGAGCCAATAGGGCTGGGCGGAAGGAGGAGCTGAGGAATAACTGAATGAAACAGACCCGCTCGGTTGGTAAGATGCAAAATGTCTTGACACACTTTGTCCTCTGCTACTAGTCAAGGACACGTACAGATCTCTACTGATGACAGCCTTCCCTTCCATAAATCTTGTGGTTTTATTTTTCAGTGCCAGCCTGGCCATCTTCTCACACTCACGCTGCCACATAACACTGTGCTATGCTATGGAACTGCTGGATTGATGTGGTGCTAAAATTGCCTATAAGCAAGGTTATCAAATAAAAAGTGCTGCTTGGTTATTTTTCAGCATGCCTTTTTTTTTTCTTTTTTTCCCCTCAGAGTAGTTAGTCAAAAATATAACAATTTGTTACTAAATTTACTTCAATGCTGTTGCCAATCTGCTGAATATGACAGACCACATTGTGTATGGACACAAGCCTAAGACAGTATTTTACAATCCCTGCTTATTCCATTTGTAAGAGACATGGGAAGAATATGACAGTCTCTCTCCTGCCTTGTGATTGAGAGGCTGCTCTTCAACTCCCTTTCCCTACCTACCTGCCATAAAATAGGTTATGAGATTCAAATGAGTTTTATTTAATTCTAACTTTTAACTGTAATTATGGAACATTTGACAGGGGAAAAGGCTAGTGGAAATACTGAGTGAATCTATTTTATCCAAGTGGGTTTAGGCTATGCAGCCATAGCACAATGGATGACAAAGTTCTGTATAAGAATGAAACAGATTTTGAAATGTGTTTGCTATTGGGTGAGGTTACACTAATTTATGATGGGAAAATAGTATGTTACTTCATTGTAATGCACTTCTGCGCTAATTTTGCACATTACAGGTATGACACAGCAGAATTTATAAACAAGATTAACTGCTTTTATTTCTTCACCTTGTCATTCTTTCACAGAAATACCATCTAGTAGAAATGATGTACAGATGGCTGAATTTCCAGACTTTGTTACAGGACACTCTTCGTTATTATGCTGGCAACGTTATCGGAATGACCAGAAGAGGCAATAAGGAATAAAACCAATGCACACACACACGTATGTGTGTGTATATGTTTGCATTATGCATGTGTGCATAGGTTGGAATCTGCACATCGCTACTGCCACTTCTCTGGCCTTGGACCTTCCCTTCAGCTATCCTAAGGCAGTCAGCCGTTCACAGCAACTATTACTTTGCCTGTTGCTTGCTGTTTCAAAATATTTTCCTTTGATTTCTTTTGTTAGTTCTCTCTGCCTGTAAAGCAAATGTAAGTTTTAGTTTCATTTTAGTGGTTTTCTTGATGTGGTCCTTGTGAAGGTCTGAGGATTTTTGTGCTTTTCTATCTAACACTGTTTCTTCTGCCAATAACTCTTTCATGCCCTATCCTAGGCCATTACTGAAGCTGGAATGCTATCCCCTTTAGGGTCCTTGCTCTAATCTTGCCCTGAGATGCTGCTACAAACAATAGGCCATGATGACAAATTACCATAAGCATTTTGAGTACGCCTCTTTTGGGGTTTTGGTTTTTTTTTTTTAGTCTTCATTATTTTCCTCCTTTTTCATGGTTATAGGATATGGTTATGCACCACCAGATCCAATTGATATTTTATCACCATACCTCCCTGGGAACATTAGTCCATTCATGACTCAGTTTTGCTCAAAGCACTCAGAGATGCCTTTTTGGTTCAACTTAGAATGCAATCGAATATCAAAATCAAATTGATAACTAGCAGTTACACCAAGGAAATAGCCATGTAGAGTTACAATCTACTTCACCTTTATGATGTTTCCCATCTCTAAAGCATATGCTTGATTTATGTTTTATAGAAATGATTATCCAAAATGAAAATGCAATGTACTGCTTTGTAATCCTTGAATACCTTGTTACTTTACAATGACCAGGCAACTTTCCATCTGTAGTTTTGCAAAGAGGTTCCTGGCTGACCCAAAAGGTATGTGTTTTATCTTTGTTGGTCTCCAAGAGCTTAGCCAGGTAAAATAGTGCATCATGAGTTACTTCATCCACAAGCCTCCATTTGAAGTCTTGCCAACAGTCTCCTTTTGTTTTGAATGACTTGGCAGATATTGGGGAAAAAACCAAAATTATAGCTATTCCTTGAAATATGTCTCCCTTTACTTTGCTGCAAGAATCCTGTCCCTGTCACTTGTGTTGAAGAAAATTTCTAGCTGAACTGATGAACTAGCTGTGCTGAGATGTTCTGGGTGGTATTGAGTTAGCATGGTTGCCTGGATCCATGAGACAGGTATGTAAAAAAAACCTGCTTGGGATTTTAGAAAAGCTCACTCAGTCATGGATTGTGTACTGAGATTATGTCTAATTTCTGTGATTTAATTTCTTTAGTTGGTCATGTGCAATCTTAATGAACAGTGACATATTAAAGCTTGATGGTAGCTGCATATGTTTTAAAGTGCTCATGAGCAGGATGAAAGAAGACTGAAATAGGAGATATGGATATGGAAATCTTATAGGAATTGCAGACCATATTCATCCCATTTGGAAGTGCCATGCTCCAGCAGCTATCTCCTGACCAAATCCCTGCTGAGCACACTGCCAGTAGGGGTAGGAAAAGAGAAGCAGAAATGACTGTACAGACCTCCCACGTGATATTTGTGATGGAGAAAAACAAAACCAGTGTCACCTATCAAACACTGATGATGCTATGGCAGAAATACATTACAAAAGGGAAGACAAATTTCGTA